TTCTGAAGCCAAATAGAAGTGGCCATAGTCCAGGAACATAGAGTTAGGTTACCCCAAGTCCTATGTTCCAATGCTGAACAAAGAAAATCCTAAATCAAGGCACTTCTAGATACATTGGTGGAAACATTAAGTACATGGGTTGAGCAAAGCTGAGTGAGTAACTCCTTCAGGCCTCAGATGCTGTCTGCTAGTATCCTTACCCTTTTGATTGGGGAAAAACTAGGATTTTGTTAGTATATTCCAGAAAGTCACAGTGTAATTAGGGGCCTAAAGAAAGCACAAGGTAAATTGTTATTCGGCTCTAGATCTACAATAGTCCAACCTCTACTGTCTTTGAAGTGAAACTGTTATTCAGCCTTGCAGAAGGGTCAGTTGAAGATGCAGTTTCTTTCTGGAAACTTCTCACTTGGAAGTCACTTTACGATAAATTTGACCTTCACTATTAAATATAAAATGGGGGAGGGTGCTCTGTATTTAATAAAACTGGAGTTTAATAAAATAATTAAACTGGAGTTTAATAAAACTTCCAGTTGCTATGAGAGTTTTAATTAGAGTACATTTCGTGACTCTGTTTTAAATAGACCTTTGCTTCAAGGGACTTTTTTTTTTTTTTTTTAATTCCCAGGCCCAAATCAGACTCCTGTCTGCCTGGTTGTTTTCTTTTTATTAAGTCTGTGTTTATTGGGACCATATGTTACTCTGAGTTATCTCTGCTCCAAATCTGCTATATTTCTGCCCTCATATGACCTTTGTGTTAGAGGGCAGAAGAAAGTGCCAGCTTCTACAGCATACCAGGTCAGAGAAAAGGCTTCCTTCCTCTCCCAGCAGGGCTGCAGATAGAAAATCTTTGAAGGGATGTGGCGTGTGTGTGTGTGTGTGTGTGTATTGTGTAAGAAAAGAGTGTATGTATGTATGTATGTATGTATAGTATGTAAGGGTGTAAGAAAAGTGTTTTGTATGTATGTATGTATGTATGTATGTATGTATGTATGTATGTATATAGACACACAAACTTTACATTTTTGATTTAGAAAAACTTTGTGCCCTCAAACTCCCCACGTAATCCAGACTGGCTTTCTACTCCTTTCTGCTCCTTCTGCACCAGCCTCCAGATTGCTGGGATTGCAGCTTTGCACTGTACCACCAGGCTGAGTAGAATCTCTTCGTCAGACGCTGAGCTCACAGAAGCTAGTCTCTAGTGCTGCACTTAGTGGCCTTTGAAATGCCATCTAAGAAGATTTCTTCTTTTATTCACTTGTTTATTCATTCTTTTCTCTTCTAATACTGATCAGATCTCCAACACCACATGAATGGGTTTGCCAATTCCAGTTTCAATTGGTGGAGGCAGGGGATCCTCAGAGCAAGCTGGCTAGCAAGACTAATCATATCAACAAACTTGGGGCTTGATCAAAAGATGCTGCCTCAATAAATAAAATGGAAGAGCAGTTGTAGATGATTCTGACATCAGCCTTAGGTTTCCACATGCATCCACACATACATGCTCTTGCAAACATTCATACACGCACATTTAAAAAAGAAACCTGTATGAACATATGTTTAAAACCCATGTTTATATTTGCCTTTTTTTCTCAGTTCTTAAAGGGACCAGTTAAAACAGTGACAGTTTCAGTTCAAGCCCACACAACGACACATCTCAATCCTATTATACCCTGTCTGTTTCGCACAGAATGTAAATACTGTTACCTCCCCTCTTCATTTAGCACTCTCTTTAAATCCTTCCCTTGGCCAGGATGTTATCCTGCTGCAGCAAGAATGTAGAAACTGCTTTTCATAAAAGGCATCAAACTCTTCACCCACAAGGTAACATAAAGGCAAGGTAAAGCCTGGACTCTCATCCTTCATTTTGTGCCTGTCTCTTTCACTTTGGCTCAGGCTTGATTGTCCTGTTCATCACTCATGGAGTAGCTATCTCCTTGATCCACCTCCTCCCTTCAAGGCTGAAGTCACAGAGATAAGCCATTGTCCTAAACCTGTAGGAGCAACCAAGCTTAGCAGGTCGGACTACTTTTCCTCTGCCTCCTGGAACAGAAGTAATAATCACTGTGTAGGAACTAGATTGTCCTCTTGAGCTTATGACAGCTACAACACGTTCTTAGGGCCCTTCTTGTGAATAGAGCGCTGAGGCGAGGGTCAGCCAGCTCACACCTTAACCAGGACTGCTTAATTATATGAACCTCTTGTCCACTGCTTCAAGTCCTTTTCTGTTTGAAATGAAAGTTTCTACCCTAAAGATGAACTTGGGGTCACTGAACTCTTTTTTGTTTCCCTTTCAAGCACATGTATTAGGTCTCTGCCTTTTCTATTACTGTCTCTTTAGTTGCTATATTAAGATAGGTGGCCAAGCCTAACCAGTCGGTTCTGTAGCTCACTGGAACAACCCAGAGCTCAGGGAAGTAGTATACTTCAAATTATTCTTTGAGGAGTAGCTCCAAGATAGAGCATAAGTTTCGTGTACAACTGCTGTCTTATATAAAGGATGTGAGCCAGGAGGACTAGCCCAATAAAGACTCACAGGGCCAAGTCTGGGAGGAAGTACAGAGCTTTCTGTCCCTTCTTAGAGAATGTGTGCACTCGCATGTGCGCAGTTTAATTTTTGAATCAGGGTCTCAACTGTATAGCCCTGGCTGGCCTAGAGCTCACTATGTAGGTCCAGCTGGCCTAGTATTCAGAGATCTATATGCTTCTGTTGGGATTAAAGGCATATGCCACCAGACCCAGCAGAATCAATGCACATTTACATATGTAAAATCTCCCCAGCACATCAGTGTAGTCATCAACCAGGAAAGGTTCACTGAGCTTCTATGTCAGAGTTTTTATCTGGTTTCATTGTCTAGGATTAACTGAATTTTTGGTCAAATGGTTGAATCAGTCCTCATTTCTCTCCTCACCATCAAAGATTGAGAGTTCTAGTTGTAAATGACTCAGTCCCTAATTCCTTGCTTACAGTGCTCATCTTTCAGGCCTGGCTTGTTCCCATTCTGAAGCCATCCCAATGGATTACTTCATGTCGTAGCAAAGGCATTCTTGTTGTGGAGGAAATTCCAAGGACTTGGAGTCTTCCCTCTCATGGCCTAGAACAAAGACACCCAAATTCTTCATTGTACAACCTAGCTCTGGAAAGAGGATGTGTGTACCTTCTTGAATTGGAAAGAAAGAGGGTGTGTGTGCCTTCTTGAATTGGAAAGAAAGAGGATGTGTGTACTTTCTTGAACTCAGCTTTGCCTTCACTGGTCCACACTGATAACAGTATTTTTTAAATTCCTAAATATTGTGATCAATGTGAATTCCACATCAGCTTCTATTTCCTGCCACCTTCTTGAAACATTTTACTTACTTGATTTCTTGGTTGCTGTTCTAGCAGGCAGAACATGCTTTTGCTCCAAAGGGAGAAAGAAATGTTTTATTCAGAGCTAAATATGAGTGACCATGGCCCAGCAACATGGGTTCCCCTAGATGATATGGTCCACTGCGGAAAGACATCTATAGTCAGACAACAGAAGAAAGTAATAAATCAATAGTTTTTATAGCTACTAGATACGTGGATGGGGACATCGGGCAGGTGGGCAGTAGCAAAGTGGGAAGATCTCTACTCTGTTTTAGACACTATTTTATTACACTCTTAATTTGGGGGTTAGTGGAAGCTGGTGAATGCTCTGCTAGGTTGATACATTCCAGAGATTTTACCTGATAGTCAAAAGGAAATCATGTCTCATACAGAGGTGAGTGATAATGACTCTCAAAGGGACTAAAGATAGCCCAAGATAATTGGGTTTACCACAGTCAGGAAGTCCTAATCAGTCTGTAGAATATTCAACTAAAGTGGCTTTCTCAGGGAACTTCTGTTCACTCTTCTTTCTTTTAGTTTTCTTCCTATATGTTGGCTACTTTTCTTCACTTAACACATTCAAAACAGACAAACAAGCAAATGAATAAGTAAAATGAAATTACCTGAGGTGTTCCAACAAACAAGCAAATGAATAAGTAAAATGAAATTACCTGAGATGTTCCAACGTTGGCTTTTTAAAATCTTTTTTTCTCAGACAAGGTCTCATGTAGCCCAAGCTGGCCTTGAACTTCTAATCTTCCTGCTTTTTCATCCCAAATGCTAGATCACAGACAAGGGCTACAACACCCAGTTAGCAGGTTGCTCTCTGAGCAAATTGGTTTTCAGCCTCCTGCCTTCTATCTGTGGGCAGCTGCCATTCCTTAGTCTCGTATGTCATTTAGTGGTTGACTTCTGCTCTAGTGCAGCCCCATTTCCTGTTGCCTTATGTATCTCAGGTGTGGCTGTCATTAGGATCAGGTGCTACGTTTACTTTTCAGTAGAAACGCCCTAGGTAACATCATATCTCTCACACTTTTTATACTCACGATGTGCACATTTGGATCTTTAGGCTAGGCTCTTAGCTGTATTCCAAGTTTTGGCTTTGGATTTTACCAGAGTTTCCATCTGAAAGTTCTATAGGAACCTCAAATTCAACAAGTCCTGAACAAAATTTACCACTTTAAAGACAAGTTAGTTTTGTGTTATAGTTAAAAAAAATATTATTCATAGAGTAATCTTAAGGACTGAGAAATATATATATCAAGCTTAGTAAAAAGTGTAGTGCACATGAAATAGTAACTTTTCATATAATAACACTTTTTATTACACGACTGTCTTTTCTATTAGTTTCTCTAGGGTAAGGACCATATCTCCAAACCTAGCACCCAAGTTGTAATAGATGCTCATTGAAGACCCAGTTAAAATGTGTAATGACAGCCAGATGTGATAGTAGATGACTTAGGAACAGCCTAGTACCAGCACTTTGGAGGCTGAGTCAGGAGGATGAGGGACGTGGAGGTCAGCTTGTGTTAACTATCAGGAGGACCTGTCTCAAAAACAGAAAACAAAAAAGAACAGTCTACAGAGCAGTCAGTCCTGTTGTATAATCCTCTGACAGCCTAACAGTGAGGCATCATGTTTCCTCTTCTCCTAGGTGCTGTGTGCTGTAATCATTCAAAAGATAACCAGATGTGCCGGGATGTGTGTGAGCAGGTAAGCTTCGTAATATTAGTGAATACAGTTGGATAAGTGTTAAATTTGCTTTTGCAAAAGTCGCTGTATAATAGCTTACACACAGTTTACACCACAAATAATGTGTTAACTGACATGAAGCACTGAAAAGGGACACAGGATCATAATCCAGATAGTGTGGAAACAATCAGGCCACTCCAGATTGAGGGCTGTACCTTGAAACAATAGCTTGTATTCTTAATACATTTAAGTTATATTAAAAATACCACTATTATAGTGAAAAAAAGGCTAAAAAAATGATTCCAGATAAAATTAATTGATGCAACTTGACAGCCAAATGCAATCAATGATCCTGGAGTGAAAAAGAAGTTTCATAACAAAATTAGTGAGGCAAATTGGTGAAGCTTGATCATAGCCTGAACATGAACTGATAGTATTCTTCAGTGTTGTGATCCTGTGCTTGGTCACTGTGTTGTGGTTAGGTATGACAGAGTCCTTATTCTAAAGAGCTAGTGTTTAATTTGGGGGTGCTTTTTGCTTGGTTGGTTTTTGTTTGTTTGTTTTACTGACAGTTCCTCCTGTATCCCAGGCTTGGTATTGCCATTGTACACCACCACACCTAATTTATGCAGTGCTGAGACTAGAACCCCAGGTTTTGAGCATGCCAGACAAGCACTGTACCAACTGGGCTACATCCCATGCCCATGCTAGGATATAGGAACAAACAACTTCACTGTCTCCAAGAATCCGAAACTAAGATGCTGATAATAGTATGTGCATATGCAGAGGAAGCTAAGGGGATGTGATGTGTTAATAATTGGCAGGCCTGCTGGACACTGTGGATTCATTGTCTTACTGTCGTAAATTTTTTTTGTAGTTTGAATTTTTCTGGTTGAATATGTAAGTTCTATTGAGCAAGATGTCTTGGTAAAGCCCTAGCTTCCTTTTTTCACCTTAGGGTTTAGCCTTACATATTTCTGGCCCTAGAGCTTGAGAAGTAATGTTCTCAGTCACCAGTCACATTTTTTTAGTAACAGTCTAGAAGTGATGTCATCTTCATGTTATAGATAAAGAAATTGACATATAAAAAAGTTTAAAAGCTTACCAAAGTTCTCACACCAGTGATTGGAAGAATAGCTACTGTGTGATTTTGAAATAATTTTTATTTTTATATTTACTTTATGTTTGAGAGTTTTGCCTATATGTATGTCTATGTACCACTTGCATGCCCAGTGCCCTCAGTGGCCAAAAGAGGGTGTTGAATTATTGGAACAGGGGTTGCAGATGATTGTGAGCTACCGTGTGGGTGATGAGAATGGAACCTAGGTTCTCTGGGAGTACAGCGAGTGCTTCTAACCACTAAGCCATCTCTCCATCCCCCCCGCCTCTGAGATTATTTTAAAAGTATAATGATCTCTGGGCTTTCTCCCAGTGCGCTGCTAAGATTGGTCACATACTACTTGTTTTCCCTTATTACTCTGTCATCCCTTTGCCTGCTTTGCTTTTATTCTTACTCTTCCTTTTATCTTTTTATAGTGGAAAATTTTAATAAATACAAAGATAGAAAAGAATAGTCAATCCTATATTGAGCTTTAACATTATTAATCATGGCCAGTTATGCTTCACTTATCTTTATGAGTCTGAGTCTTCCTATTCTTCCTAGCCTATTAAAGCAAATTTATATTGGAGCAGACCAATTGGGATATTTTGGGGGGGTTTTTTTGGTTTTGTTTTTTTGGTTTTGTTTTTCAAGACAGGGTTTCTCTGTGTAGCCTTGGCTGTCCTGGAACTCACTCTGTAGACCAGAGTGGCCTCGAACTCAGAAATCCGCCTGTCTCTGCCTCCCAAGTGCTGGGATTAAAGGACTGTGCCACCACTGCCTGGCGGCATATTATTTGTTACATTATTTCTCAACCTATAATTTATAAGGACTTTAGACAAAAGAATAACTGGACAGAGGATATAACTCAGCTGTAGATATGCTTGAAGTATCTCACAGATAACAATGACGATAACAACGATTGTACTATTATCACTTGCTTAAAAAGGCAGTGTTTAGGGATGGAGTGATAACTCAATGGGCAAGAGCACTTACTGCTCTTGCTTTTTATTGCATTTTAAAATGATGTGTTTGTGTATATGGGTACATGCTTATGAGCAC